CAGTCCAGTTACTGAATGTTCTAGAGAGAGGAAAATGAAATAAGACTATTGTCACATCTTCTGAAGGTGGTATAAAAATGGTAGTTACAGTAAGCAGGTTCCCCTTCACTGATGTAGCTATGTATAATTCAGTTTAAAATTTTATGTAATTAATGGAGTTCCATAGATTACTGGAAAATGTGTGTAATATCTAGATCCAAAAAGTGACACAGCATCGCAGCCTCTACCAGACCCTCTGCCCCCAAACAGGACCTTGAGGTGTATGATCCCTCTGGGATGTTTATGTTTAAGGCAGGATACATTTACACATCGGAAAACCAGAGCCATGTCAGTGGAGGAGAAAGTGGCTGTAGAAAAGGTAAAGGGCAAGGCTTAGCTGTAAAGGTCAGAGAAACTCTGTTTTCCATACACATCTCCTGTAATTAGGCACTTGTGCCCTTTAAAAAAAAAATTAAAGAGTCATTTGTTGAAAATAGAAGTCAAAGACTTACAAAAGTTATTTAATATTCAAAGACAAAACAAGTCTAGTTCCAAACACAAATCCCTTTGTGTAAACATTGTGGGAAGGTGCCGAAGAGCCATGTACCCAAAGAGAAGCCACAGAGCAATTTGTGTTCCCCAATAACAGGATCATATATGGGCAAACCAAAAGATCAACAAAAATCCCTTGATTGGTAGAAGCAAGTGCAGTGTTATATTTGGTGTCTGTGACAATTCTAAGAATAGACAGGAACTTCACTGGAACAGTGTGAAAATTTGTATGTTGAATACATATAATGAAGGTGATTTAGCTTTGGGGTGTGCGTGCTAGGTGGAGAGATCCCCATGTGTTCAGTGTTGTAATAAACTAATGTCAGCTTTCTAAATCATCATTTGGTTTGAAGAGTTTTCTTTGTTATGATTTTCAGTAACAAAATTATGTATTCAATGTCTGTACATCTTACAAACCTGCTGTTCTGCACACATGGAAAAAGCGACTTACAGTGAGAATCAGAATAGAGAAGCAACTGTGGGACAGAGCGGTCTTCATGACCGGGAGATCTGCTGTCAGAAGGTAAGACACTGGTGCACAGCGCTGCAACATGAGATGAAGACTTCTCACTTCTCTTACCATTATGTATTCAGTGTATGTTCAGGTGTATATTCAGGCAGAAGGCTTGGTTTCATATCAGATGTTACCTTTAAATCTTCTTTGTCCTTTTTTTTTTTGCTGTTTGTATGTGTAACCTCAGATTCTCACACTGACTATGTAGTATAAATTTGCAAATAGATGTAACAGGTTCTCTTTAATATCCCATGCCAAACTTCTAATCAATTTCAATCAATGTTGGAAATCTGCAGTGCATAAATTGTATTTTGATTCATTATTCAAAGAATCAAAGAAATAAGAACTCTTTTTAGAGGTTTATGTTTATTTTAGAAAATATAAATGTATCTTGTATTTGTAGGTTTTTAACTACTAATTTTTAGCTATCACTGTAGTATTTCTATGAGGAGTTGTACTTTTTGCTGTCTCTTATGAAACTTTGTGGAAACAAAACTAGGTTTCATAAAACATCTGTTCTCATATTCATCTCTCTGTAAAATATGGTGACCTTCAAAACAGGAACAGTTTGTCTAGGTAAACATTTCTTACATTGCATTCTATATTCTATTAGCGTATGTTATTTATGAGACTACTTTAGAATTTTGTTACTGTTGTGTCTGGCTGCTATTCTCAACTTAAGAGCTCTGCAGAAGTGATGATAACATACATTCTTTTTGCTCAGTTGCAAAAATTTCCTGCTTTCCTCTACAGTATGTTAGAGCCCAGGAGATCAGATCCAATTACCAGAATTTTATATAGCTGTTTGTGAGCAGTCCTTCCTTAATTGCTGTTATTCCTACTGATGCAAACCTATTTATGATGTTCTGAATGAGGAAGAAGATATAGTGAGCACAGTCTAATAATCTAAGTTTTGTTCTGTAGCCAGTAGTATGGTGAGGAGACGTGCCTTGCATGAATGGATCCAGATGAAAGCTGTGAGTGAGGCACAAAGTCTTCAGGCCCTGGGCTAAGGCAGGACCTGTTTTGTTTCAGGAGGTACACCTAGGCCTCTCCAGAGACAGAGGGAGGTGGCAGACAGCTCTGAAGCATAGGCAGGGGCTTTCTTGGTTTTAAGGCCTTGTGCTAAGGACAAGATGAAGTTGAGAACAGATGGTGTATACAACAAAGTTATCAACATGCTTTCTAAAAACAGAGGAAGTGATCCATGAATACTGGAACAGAACATCCTCACAGAAATCACTGACTGTCCCTTTGCTGGCCATGGAGCCCTGAAGGCCATGCTGGTAGCATTCATTGGATTGCTGTAGCTGACAAGGCAGTGCAGGGATGTTGGATCTGCACCTGCACAGATTGAATGTGTGTGCACCTGGGGTGGACAGGCACTGGGGCCTCCAGGAGCTGCTGGTATTAATCATGGGCATCAGAGGTGATAAAGGCACTTGTAGCTCCCAGACAGCTCTGGCACTGACCAATATTTCTGCTGTGGTTAATGGGACTATTTGCAGTAGTCTGTCAACTGTTCATGGGCTGATTTGGCCCTGTTGCATGACAAGTGGGGCGGAGGGACCTGCAAATCTGTGCCCTGGGAAGGGATAATGGAAAAGGATAGAGAGATAGGCCTAAAACAAAACAGCGGCAATGATCTGAGGAAAAACAAATTAATTTAAGAAATAAGATATTGGAATGCAAGATAACACACTGTAATACAATATAATACAATATAATTAGAATTGAAGCTAATAAATTAGAGAGAGTCCAGAAGCCAAAGGCCTTATTCTAATGCTGTGATGAGATGGCACCCACAACAGAGACAAGCAAGACGATTGAACGGGATGTCAGGTGACTTACCAAGCACTCCAAGTCAATCCTATGCCTGCTGCTGGGGAACACCCCATGTATCCTCTCTGTTTCCTCCCACTCTTCAACATCCTCAAAGCACAAAACACTGTTAGAAAGCAGTAAATAGTCTTTCGCCCTCTCAAGCTACTCTGCATGGTGCATGCCTGCATTTCAGCCTCCTGACTCTGGGATGGGTAGCAGAAGAAACGCCCTGAGATTCCAGGTGGAGACAAGACAGTTACGAGACAGTTAAGTCTTTTACTCCATCCAGACTGCCACAAGTCCTTGGGCTAGATAAGTTCCATTCAAGGATGCTGAGGGAGCTGGTGGAGGTGACTGCCAAGCTGTTTTCCACCATCTATCAGTGATTCTGGTCAACTGGAGAGGTCTCAGATGACTGGAGGCTTGCCAGTTTGACTCCCATTGCCAAGAAGGGTCATGAGGAGGATCTAGGGACCTACAGGCCTGTCAGTGTGACCCTGGTGCCAGGGAAGGTTGTGGACCAGATTGAATGTGTGTGCATGCGTGGGACAACCAGGGGATCAGGCCCTGCCAGCATGGCTTCATGAAAGGCAGGTCCTGCTCGACCAACATGATCTCTTTCTATGACTGTCACCTGTCACCTAATCTGTCACCTGGTGGATGAGATAAAGGCTGTTGCTGATGACCTAGACTTCAGTAAAGTCTTTAATGCTGTCTTCTACAGCATTCTCCTAGGAAAGCTGGCAGCTCACGGCTTGAACAGGTACACTCTTTTCTGGGTGGAGGGCTGGGCCCAGAGAGTGATGGTAAATGGAGTTATGTCCAGCTGGTTGCTGGTTGTGAGTGGTACTCCCGAGGGGTTGATATTGGTGTCCATCCTGTTTAATATCTTTATTGATGACCTGGATGAGGGTATTGAATGTACCATCAGTAAGTTTTCAGATGACACCAAGTTGAGTGGACATGCTCACCTGCCTGGGGATAGGAAGGCTCTACAGAGGGGGCTGGGCAAGTTGGATCAGTGTTGAGGACAATTGTATGAGGTTCAACAAGATCCAGTGCTGGATCCTGCACTTTGTCACAACAACCTCATGCAATGCTACAGGCTTGGGGCAGGGTGGCTGGAAAGCTGTGTAGAAGAAAAGGATTTGGGAGTGTCAGCTGATAGCTGGTTCAACAGCCAGCAGTGTGTCCAGGTAGTCAAAGTGGCCAGTGGCATCCTGGCTTGTTTCAGAAATAGTGCTGCCAGTAGGAGCAGGGAGGTAATCGTCCCTCTGTGCTCAGCTCTGGTAAGGCCACATCTTGTATGCCGTGTTTTGGGCCACTCGCAACATGAAAGACATTGAGGAGCTGGTGCTTGTCCAGAGAATAGCAAAACAGTGAAGGATTTGAAGCACAAGTCTTATGGGGAACAGCTGAGGGAACTGGGATTGCTGAGTCTAGAGAATAGGAGGCTCAGGGGAGACCTTATTACTGCCTACAAATACCTGAATGGTGGCTATGGTGCAGAGTTGGCCTCTTCTCCTGGTTAACAGTGATAGGACAAGAAGGAATGGCCTCAATTTTCTCCAAGGGAGGTTCAGATTGGATGTTAGAAAATGTTTTTTCTCTGAAAGAGCAGTAAGGTATCAGAAAAGACTAGCCAGGGAGGTGGTGGAGTCATTGTCCCTGGAGGTGTTCAAGAAACGTGTATGTATGGCACATAAATGTGTACACAAGGCACATGGTTTAGTGGGGAAATATTAATGACAGGAGGTAGGTTGGATTAGACCATCTTAAACATTTTTTCCCACCTTAATCATTCTAAGATTCATCCCTCGCACCGACTGGTCAGTGGGCAATTATTGGCTCTGCAGGGCGCTGCATTCTAATTAGCTGCAGCAGCAAAACAGGGCTGGACAAGGCTGCGCAGGGATTGGCTGATCATTGTCTAGGATTGGCCGTGGGCGGGGTCGGCAGTGCTGGTAGGAGGTGGCTGCGGACAGCCGGCAGTTTGGGGCGTGATTGGCTGGAAAGGCTTGAAACAGGGGCGTGCGGTGATGTGTGGCGCTGAGCCGGTGCGCTGCCTGTTCCCCGCCGCCTTCTGCTAAGACCCGCCGGTGGCCCGGTCCAGCCCAGCCCAGCCCGGCCCTGGGGCAGCAGGCAGGGTCCGTGGCCGTAGCAATGGCTATGATGAAGGGGGCGATGGGCTGCCCAGTGGCTAACATCATGGAGGAGACCTTCAGCTGCACTGTCGCCAACCGCTTCTACCAGCTGCTGGACGACGAGTCGGACCCTTTGGACAACCTCTGCGAAGCCGAGCGCCGCCAGCAGCAACGCAAGAACCTCAACAAAGTGGTGGCCCGGCGGGGCAGCCCCGGTGGCAGAGGGGGTACCGCCAAGAGGGAGCCTCAGAAGCAGCGCAAGCAGCTCGGGACGCCCGCGCCGCCGCCGCAGCTCGGTACGGGGCGCCGCGCCGCGGGGGAGTGGTGGCGTCTCAGCGGCGTGGGTGCGGGTTCGGGCGGCGCTGCCTCGGGTGGTGGCGGTGGGAGTGATGCGATCCAGGCCGAGTGCTGCTGGCAGCGGGAATGTGGCGAGATCCGAGGGAGCTTCCGCGGAGCGAGAGGCGGTCGGACTGCTCCGATGTGAGTCCGGGCCTCTGTGCTGCAGACAGTAAGTGCCGAAACAGGAACTTAAGAAACGCGAGGGAAGAGCGGGAGGCAGCTGCCTGCCTCCGTTCATCTGCTCTAACACTGCTGTGGATGTCCCACCCCTGGAGGCATTCAAGGCCAGGCTGATGATGAGTGGCAGCCCTACCCACTGTGGGGAGTTGGAGCTGGGTGGGCTCTGAAATCCCTTCCAATCCAAGCGATTCTGTAAGTTTTAATACCTTGGGGAAATACATATTAATTGCAATGGAACTATTATTGTTCCATCAAGTTGTTGTCAGTGCTACCACCTCTATTCCTGAAGTTTAGTTTTATGCTACTCCAGCAGCAATCACTTGACTTTGTGGGGCCAAATACGTGCTAGTTGATATGCATCTTTGTAGAAGACAAGGGTATAGGTTGTTGCTTTAGGCAGTTGTTTTGGACTGTTTTTTTGAGGTACTTCTGAGATAGAAACATGACTGTCAAAAATCTCTGCCTGGAAGATGGACATTCATTTTAGCACCAGGTCTCCTTCATTTTCAGGGTTATTTGCTGTGGTTACCAGCAGAAAGCAGAGGAATCTGTTAGTGAACAGCAGGGCGAAGCTTTGATGAAAAAGTTGTTGCGCAAGTGCTATTAGGTGTCCACCAGGACAGTGAAGTATTTGAAAGCCATCTTCACTTCCTACTTCTCCACTGATGTCTTGAGCATACAGGTTCTGAATGTAATCCTCTGTATTACCCCGTGACCTGATGGACTGAATATTTTCTGCTACCTTGATAGTAAGGAAACCTTCTTTCTGCAGGTAAAGGCATCAGATGCATGCCTTGTTTTACTTTACTGATAATTTAAGCAGGGAAAAATACTGCTGGCTTTGGTAGTAGACTTTAGGAAAGTGAATAAGCACCTACCTGAGGAATTATTTCTTATTAGGGAAATAAAAAGTACTTTCTCCTTTAAAAGTGGTTATCCTGAATTTTGAATGCTTGTGTGTTTGTGTCTTGGGTTCCTTGAGAAATAAGATTGTGTGGTGGAGAGAGGTGAGACCTGGGCCTGCCTGTGTACCTCTGCTATATTCGTCTTCTTGCTTGAATTACATGAAGTTAATTTGTTGTGCATAATTCAGTTTGAAAACTTCTGGATACCAAAAAAGTTACAGGGGGACTGCTAACTTAATGGGTGAGAATGATTAACTACTGGAAAGGTTTATCTTAGCAGCTGAATTTGGCACAAATCTTCTAGTGATGGCTGCATTTCTAGGATATGCTCCTGTTAAATATGTAATAACAAATTACTAAATTCTGATATTAGTGATTAATCTTATTTTTTCCTCTAAAGTGTAATATCTTTAGTAATTATCAGATCTAGGGCCTGACTCTCTAATTTCATTTCACTGTTTCATAATTAAATACTACAAAGGACCATGTTTGTGTCTGATCAGCTGGATCAGGTTCTGGTATTATGATTCATTGTACCTTGTACAGGTTTATCTAATTACTTGATTGTGTTGCTTGTTTGGGTTTCAAAAAGTGTTAAGCTTCACAGTTTTTTATTATTGTATTTCTTGAATACAGTAAGTCTGAAAAAGTAGTCTTTACTGTTAAGCCTGCATCTTTTGTGTGACTTCAATTTGTAACCTGTAGAAAGAATTACAGTCATCTGAGAGACTGTTACAGGTGTTGTTTTGAGGTTAGAGTGTCTTCTGTTTGAGGACAACACAAGTGGAACTTTGGATGGGAGCTAGACACAACTGCAAAGGCAGTTTGTTTGGCTGAATTGTTTTAAAATCCTTCTGTTGATATACAGTGGCAGGGAGCTGAAAAGGTCTGTTCCTAAAAAAGTACAGTATGTGCTTTCCCAACTCAGATTTCTGTGAAACATGTTTATTAAAAACACTTTTTAGAGAGTTGCCTTGCCTAAATGCTGTTTTATAAGTAACACTAATACTGATAGTAATGCACTGTGATGGCAAAGTGAAAATACACTTCAGTATGTTGGCTGTTCTATTTAACCAACAACTCATAAAAAACGAGCTTTTCCTTAGTGATGTCTGGGTATAGTGTCTGGTACCGTTTAGAGGTGTCTTTCTCAAGTAATAGCTCAGCTGTCTTTTCTGGGGGGGAAAAAAAAGCTGGTTTTGAAACAGTTCATTCAGTTCATTACATTTTCAATTTGAATATATTGATTTAGAAGGTAAAGTGATAGGCAGCTGAGCCGGTAGACTGGACAGGTGCAATAGCCTCCCATGGAGCTAGAGATGAAGTTAGTAATAGTGGATGTCTTCTTCAGCTTAATGTAAATCTAGCTGTAGGAAACAAGAGAATCACCTTAAAGAGAGGATAGATTTGACCTAGAAAAGATCAGTATTCAGGTTTTTCATTGCAAAGTTTGTGAGATTTCAAGTAAAAGATCCTCAAAACCCTACTGTGATTTTGCAGGAAAGTTGCATACCAATACGTATATACTCTAGCCAGTATATAAAATTGGAGTGTACTAACAGAAGTTGTTGATAAGCATTCAAAGCATAGCTCAGTTCATTGTAAGCGAAAGACATTGTGGCAACCCTACACAAGAGTACTTATGTGTTACTCTTTCCTGTCTGTCAACCGCAATTCCAATAAGGTTTGTTGGCTTTTGGAATCTTACATGGAAGTTTGAATTGGGACATATATGTAGCAGTAAATTTAAATAGGATAGCTTATGCTATCACAGCTGTCAGATTCTAATTTGGTTTGCTGTTGTAAGCTGAACTGAAAAATTGTGCCAGTAATCGATTCAAGGATTACACCATTTATTAGAAGTGTGGTTGCTGCAGCCATTTAGTTTTAATCCACTGCTGTGTGTCTGTCAAATCAGTTGAAGTATTTTTATATGATTTGTATCACAAGTAATCTTCTGCAGTATGTATGGCCATTTATTAGAATCAAAGTGAATAAACTATGCTGAAGCAACAATCTATCTGCTTTATCTGCAACGGTCAGTGCTAGTACTTTTAAGAGGTACTGGGAGTATAACAGAACCACTAGTCTCTTTTAAATGGCTGTTACCTCTTTGTTGTTTCAAGGAGTTCTCTGAGTGTGTGTATGTGGAATAGATGTTAATGCTAAATATATAGGGAAATTGGTCTTTGTGTTCTTGCAAAGTTATTCTAAATGCTTTTAATAGCTAACGAAAGGCTCAGAAATAAAAATGCACTCTTATGTTGCAATTGCTCATTCAGATCCAATCAAAATAAGTGGTCAAAAATTAAAAGTATTTTTGTTCCCCAAAACTAGGATTTCAGCTTAGAACCAATGCTTGCATAATTGGCGGTATAATTGGGATATACATATAGCAGACAGTGTATACCATTCTGTATTCTTTACAATTTCAAGCTTTTCAAATTAGTATAATTTAATAAAAAGTTCTCAAACTAATTTCAGAAATTGCCATTTATCCAGATATTTCATCTTAGTTTTGGGAATGAAAAAACACCTTCTTCTGTAAGAATTGAGCTAATCCAAACCTTGAGGAGGGAGAATGTATCATTTCAAGTGGTCTGTAGCTTAAAGAAAACCAGTTAAACTTCCTTCTGTGTACAGATATGATTATCCTTATTGCATAGCAAGAGGCTTCATCTATCACAATTTTATCTTATTCTCTGAGTGGATTGTTCTTTAGTTTGCTTCTATAGATTACGTTGCAGACTTCATGCTTGCTAGCCAAGCTTTAAATCAGATCTTTATATGTGGACATTTTCTGTAGAACTAGGAATTCATTTGTATATTAATATTGTGTAATGGGATTGGTTTTTGTATATTCTTGCAGCTGAGGCACATTAACCAGGACTATAATTTGTACATTAACCTGTTGAGTTCAGTAACTTCCTCAGCAGCACAGGTGCTTGTAGAAAAAAGAACACAGTTTCACTGGTCTGAGGCTTATGTTTCTGTAGTTCCTTGATTGTCTTAAATAGAGGACAATTTGGGGAAAACAGGGATGGATGAACTTAATGAATTCTATTGTTATACAGGATGCATTTGGGTTAAATGGACAACCTCAACTTGTCATTTACAATACACAGTACCTTTGCAATCAGTTTTTTCAACCTCAGCAGTGTCCACAAAAAAATCCCAGAAAGCTTAAATACATTTTGTCTTGGAATGTATTGACATTTTAGAATTAGGTGTAGCCTCTGTATTTGCTGCTTGGGTATCTTTTCTTTAAACTTGATGTCTGGCAGTGTTAAATAGTTATCTTCTCTTTAGAGCTGCAATAGGTGATCCTTATTTTATTGTATGCCGTATTTGTGAGCTTAAAGGAGAAATACAGGCTCAGGCTTGAAAATTTAGCTCATCTGTCAAGAAATGCGTTGATCAACAGCTGATAAATCTGAAATGATCTTTTCATCATTTATTCTGCAACAGTCTTGGAATTCATGTCTTCCAAAGAAGCTTCTCTGTCTTGTTCTGTATGACACCAGCAAGATCTTTGACATAAGAACATAAGAAACGATTTTTGTTCTTCATTTTTGTAACTTCATGTGAGAGGGAAAAAAATGCAATTTCTCTAGCTTGTTGTGGTTTTGTTTTTTGTTGTTATTTGTTGTTTTTTAGATGACTGAACTGTGTCAACAAGAGAGCTAGACTCACTAATCTGGAAGGGAAAGTATATATATTTAAAGACAGTGTCTGGTAAGACCAACTGTTGGGGCATTTAATAGTTGGGGTGGATTTGAGACTGGAGGGTTAAAGCTGAAGTCTGTAAGGTGTAGTTAGCTCACTTAAGTCAACAGTAACAATGATTCAGTTATTGTTAAACTCTTAGTAATGTGTGTGTGTGTGTGTGTATGTAGGTCAGAAGCAAGCACCTAAACAAGAAGAGTGTGGAGGAAAAGACAATAGCAGAGCAGAGAAACAAGACAAAACTGAATGGAGGCCGTCATTCATGGAATACTCATCTTATGAAACAGAAAGTCAAGCAGAATTCACAGCTAAGAGGTATGTATCATGTAGAAGATCATAAGGTGCCTCATAAAAAGGAAAAGTATATATGGGATGGGAAAGAGAGAGAAAGAGTTAAACTTCTTAAGCAGATATCACAGCCAAAAGTGACTTAAAGTGTTGTTAGTTTGTAGATTTGGTGCAGTACAAATTAGTTATGTCTGGCAGAGCTGCAATTTTGGCTTCCTTGCAAGTTGATATGGAACTGTTTTGTGAAGGCAAAACTAAGAATTGTTAAGATCTGAAAACTTAGCCCCTAGTCTGTAATGTAAATACATTTGGTTACCAAATTTTTTGGGACATCTGGTGCAGATTGAAAGTAGAATAAATTTTACAGTTCAAACTGAAACTATGCCTTGCTGTACTGCTTGCTACTTAGACAGTGAACACGCAGATTTTGTTTTTGTTCTAAGTACTAGAATAATTCCACAAACTTTTAACAGTGAAGAGTATAGCTCTTCTTACTGTCTGTGAATGTAGTTGATATTTTAAAACTTATTTGCAGTTGCATATGAATCTGAATTTGAGAGTGGAGTTATTACTCAAATCACTGAAGACATGACAGCTTTATAGTGTTTTATTAAACTTCTCTAATATTTCTGTTCATCAGTGGCTAAAGTTGCTATTCCTATTGTGTGTAATAATTCTTACTTTAATGCTAAAACTAATACAATTGTACTGTATTATGTGAAGATGTGGATTTAAAAAATTTTACAGTAGCTCCCCTATACTGATATCACAGTTACACAAAGTAAACATAGGATTTTTTTCTCCTTGTACTCCGGCAACAAGTCTTTTTAGACCTATTGGGGAATTAGACTATGAAAGGCCAAGAGGTTGTGGAAGAGGAGGAGGTGAAATGCAAGGTAGAGGAAGAGGCGGTGGAATAAACAAAAGTTTGATGTCTTTGACCACAGAGGAAAATGGGAATTTGAAAGACAAAGTGGCAGTGATGAAATGTAAGTGTTGAGTGTGCTTATTTTCAGTGAACAATAGAGGTGACATTATGGTAGAATTTCTTGCGTATTCTATGCCTTTCTTTGTAGACAAACTGGCTGCCAAAAAGACAGTTTTAATTTGGGAGTCTGCTGGAGAAAAAAAAAAGCTCTTAAAGAATGTTCTTTCCTCTTTCTAGCAGAATGAGAACAGATAACATAGAAAGTGGAAGTGGAGCTTGCAACTGGGGAGCAGTTAAATATATGGTGTACAATATGTAATTGTGTCCACCATCATAGTCTGGTTCTCACTGTAGGCAGTATTCTGTTCATCAAAGTCTGGATGTTTTTAGGCTAAAGTTGTGCTTTCTATTCATTGTTGTGATTAATGCTGTTCTATAGCTTATTGAACTTATCTCTATTATTTATACTGAACAGCTGAACTTGTAGCAAAAGTGTGGTGAAAGTTCTTGAATAAAAGCCAGCCAAAATTCATCTGAGTGGGGACAAAGTTGTCTTTTAACTGAAATGAGTTACGTATTTTTCTAATATTCAAGTAAGTGGGATTCTTGTATTTGATGTTGCTACAAAATACCAACTACCAGTGAAGCTTTGTCATTGGGCCTAAGATTTTATGTTGCAAAGCTGTAGTACAGTTTTGTGTGGTCCAGCAGTGCTTAGCTGGCTGCACCACTGAAGAATATTTCAGAGCATGCCAGGATCAGTGACAGAGTGTGACTTTTTATTTAGTGGTCAAAAAGATGAAAAAAGTTAGGAACTTCAGTTGTCTACTTCATTCATTGATATGTATTTGGATTACCAAAAACTTTGTTGGGAAAGTCTTCTTTTGTCTATTTGCTGTTGGTTAAGTATTCCAGCTTTTCAAAACAAGTGATCATCTGTGTAAATATGGTTATATCTAATTGTGCAAAACTAGCTTGTCTAATATACTGAAGATGGAGTGAACTGTGTAAGGCTCAAGAAAGTGAAGTTCAGTTTTATTTTTGCCTTCAGTCTTCCCTGTTAACTGCTTGCCTCCCTGAAGCTATGCTAAAGTATCTGGAAGGCAGGAAGGTGATCTGGGAGAACCAGTGTGGCAAATCCTACTTGACCAACCTAGTGGCCTTCTCTGATTGTGTCACTGCAGTGTTCAGTGGACAAAGAACTGGCTGCAGGATTGAGTCCAAAGAGTGGTGGTCAGTGGCTCAGTGTCTGGATGGAGACTGGTAATGAGTGATGTCCTCCTGGGGTCGGTGCTGGGACCAATGCTCTTTAGTATCTTCATCAGTGATATTGATAGTGGGGTTGAGTGCACCCTCAGCAAGTTTGCTGATGACACCAAGCTGTGGGGGGCTGTTGACTCACCAGAGGGATAGGATACCACCCAGAAGGACCTAAACAGGTTTGAGCAGTGAGCCCAGGAGAACATCATGGAGTTCAGTAAATCCAAATTCAAGATCCTGAACCTGGGTTGAAGCAACCCCCATTACCAATACAAGTCAAGGGATGAAATGATTGAGTGCAGTCCTGCTGAAATAGACCTGGGGGTACTGGTGGATGGGAAGCTGGACATGAGCCAGCAGTGTGCCCTTGCAGCCCAGAAAGCAGAGCTGATAGTGGCCTTTCAGTATTTAAAGGGCAACTACAGGGAAGGAGACAGACTCTAGAAGGTCTGTGGAAACAGAACAGGGGAAATGGTTTCAAGCACAGAGAAGGCAGGTATAGGTTAGAGATAAGGAAAAAATCTTTTTACAGTGAGGGTGGTTAGGTACTGGAACAGATTACCCATTGATGTGGTTGTTGCCCTGTTCCTGGAAACTCTAATGGCAAAGCTGGATAAGGCCCTGGGCAGCCTTATCTAGCTGTGTTGTTGCTGTTCATTGCAGGGGAGTTGGACTACATGTCCCTTCCAACTCTGAGGATTCTGAGATCCTGCTTATTTCCCCTAGCTGTTTGGTTTTTTTTGTTCAGTAGTATTACTACTTAAGGTACAAGTGCAGATATCAAAGCTTTCTTGTGATGTGTCATGTATGGTGGAAGTGTGATTAAATTGGGATTGTCTAAACAATTCTAGAAGTATATCTGTACCTTAATTGTTAATGATTCATTGAAGCTACAAGGTTTTTGTTGTTGTTATTTTTTTTATATTTTTAATACGCATACTTACCAGTGGAATGAAAATAAGTATGCTACTGGTTTTATTTGGCCAGTGAAGTGTTACAGAAAATGTAAACTTCTAAGATGAAATATGAACTCTACTGTTTCAATAGTGGAAAATAAAAACCACAGGCATCAGAGATGACTGATTGAACAGAACACTGTTGTCAAGTACTGGTATTCATAATTGGGTTATTGTCTTCATGCATCTTTGAATAAAAGTACATGAAAATTGTTTTTTCCAGTTCTTTTCATTTTGTTAGTGCATACAGTCACTTAGATGAACTTTTTTCTTATGATTCTGGGGTTTTGTTTCTTTTGGTTTTTTTTTTCCCCTTTCCAACAAATTTTGCCAAATACATCATGTTTAGACCTGCAGGGTTTTTCCTAATATGACTTACAAAGAGTGTATGTTTTCTGTTTACTATTCTAGTGAGGTGAAACTGCTCCAATTTTGCAACTGCAAAAAACAGCTAAGTCTCCAGAGATGTCTGAAGGAGAATCTCTAAACAAGTATAGCTGACTAAAATAATTATTTCTAAATGCAAAGGAAACAGTTTGCTGTTACTGACATTCTTGACTTGTACTGGGAAACATACTTGAAATTTGAACTGTGAAGTTTTGCTACTGCAGATATTTTAAAAAAGAAACTTTCTCTATACTTTTGTCTAAAAAAGGAGTTCTTAAGTATTAGAAAAGTTTAATTATGCAGCTGCGGTTTTGAATGACCCACTGATGCTTACATTCCTAATGCGTGATGATGATTTAATGAGGGGCTGTGCATTGCGTTACACTTTTGACTTGGGAAATGAATAAAAATTACTCTGCTTTATTGAAGTAGTAGAGTACCTCAGAAGTAATTTATTATTTTTTTTTTTTTTTTAAAAAAAGGTATTCATGATACCTGTGCAGTCACACAAACACAATTGAAGAACACTTAAGATAAAATTCTCTAAGTTACTTATTCATCAGTCACTAATAATGTACAGAGGACCTTTATAGAACCTGAAAAACTTGCAGGAAATGGTCTTGCAGTGAGCCCTAAAAGTAGACTTTGCCTTTTGCTTTCTGACTTTAAGACTTATCAGTCTTCATGGAAAATTTGTTTTAGATGAAATAAGTGCTTTAGCTTAAAGTAACTGGACAATCTTGTCCAAGAAAGAGAATTCAAAGAATGAGCAAATAGCACGTTGTGAATATCTCTTAAACTGTGGAAAGTGACAGAATGTCAGTGCCCTCTTCTATTGTTATGAAGCCTTTTTTGTCCAACGATGCAACTTGTTTTTAATTAAGTTGGTTCATTTTTTAACTTGAGTAGGCTGCAAATACTGTTTTATATATTCAGTTTATATAAACCTGTTAGAAGCTGAGTTGGCACAACTTTTTTTTTTTTTTAATTTAAAACTTGAATATACAGATAAGCCTTTTTATATATGACAAAATCTAAGAAGCTGAGTGATGACAGGATTTCTAGAAAGGTTTTTCGAAGTGGTCTTAAGTCAGATGGCTAATGTAGATAAGCACAATGCAATTTTGACAGATTTATTTAGTTAAATAGGAGAGCAGCTCTTAAGCACTTTTTGTCAGTTACTGGCGCCTTCAGTTTTTTCAGGTTTGTACCAGTTTATCCATCATTGTAGCAGTAAACAAACCCAGCAATTTAAGCTCTTCGTAGTTATGTCCTGACATTAGTTCCATGTAGAACATAAGACTTGAAGTTTACGTCTTGGCAAAGGCATCTTACAGAATCTGCCATTTGTTTTTTTTACAGAAGTCTCAGAAGCCAGTAGGGAGTCAAAAAGATTGAGTGCTTTTACTGCTTATCTTATTTTTAAACATTTAATTTGGAAAAATGCTGAATTCAGTGAAATGCAGAAAAGCAAGTAAAGTGCAAGAACAAAACTGCTTAACATAATCTTTTCAATGTAGTAAATATTATTCTGGAAACTCACAAATCTGTATGCAAAATGCATGTTATATATCGTAGAATCATAGCATTTCTCAGATTGGAAAAAACCTTAAAGATCATCAAACCCAACCACAACCTAACCATATTACCATAACTCTAACAATGTTGCTCTAAATCATGTCCCTGAGCACCACATCCAAAAGGATTTTAAACACATCTGGGGGTGGCAACTCAACCACCTCCTTAGGGAACCTATTCCAGTGCCTAACAACCCTTTCTGTAAAAAATTTTGTCCTGATATCCAACCTAAATCTATACCTCATTGCGAGTATCTTTGAAAGTAATGTCATTTTGGTGACTTCACATCTTTTAAGATAAGGTGTAAATAGTACATATTTAATTAGGGAAGGTTGTATTACTTAAGAAGGGATTTCTTAATGTGGAAAATATGTTATTTTTCAAATATTTAAAAGCAAAAGCTGTTGGGATATGGTTTTCTGGTGTGACGTGCTTCAAAATTTACCGAAAGGATTTATCTGCTTAGGTTGCCTCTGCTTTACAGAGTTGCTGTCAACTGGCAGGTAGCATACACCAGTAGAAGATTTTAACCAGATTATATTCTGCTCTCCCTAGAGCCTCAGCCCTGTGGGAGTAGGAGTGTGTGTCCAAGTTACTGCTAGGGTTTTTCTCATTTTGACTTATAAATACAGGAGTCACAGAATTACAGAATTGTAGTGGTTGGAAGGGACTTCTAGAGATTGAGTCCAACCCCCCTGCCAAAGCAGGCTTCGCAGACCAGGCTGCACAAACAGGTCTTCTCTGGAGACTCCACAACCTCCCTGGGCAGCCTGTTCCAGTGCTCTGTCACTCTCACCATAAAGAAGTTCTTTTGCATATTGGTGTGGAACTTTCTATGCTCCAGTTTATGGCCATTTCCCCTTATCTCGCCCCCATAGAGCACTGAAAAGAGGCTGGCCATGTCTCCCACACTTAAGATGCTTACAGAGGGAGAGGGTCACCTTCTTGTATTGAGACAGATTAAAAAACAAAAACAAAAAAACAAAAACAAAAACAAACAAAAAAAAAAAACCAAACCACCCCAAACTTGATTTTGTTTCTTCTCTCATTCTCTTCCTTCCCTGGTGTGATTTACCAGTGATTTACCATTTTAGAAAGTAGTTATAGTCCTGGCAGTTGTGAAAAATTTGTTCAAGTGGAGATACTGCATAGCTTTATGGTTTGGTACTGGCTAACTTCACTGCATCTCTGGGAAGACTTCTACAAGCTTGTATAATCTAAAAGGTCTTTGCCTTTAGCTCTGTGTCTGTGTTGCTATTCTTAATTCCATTTGCAAAGTATTGCAGGACAAGAATGTATTTAATACTTGCATAATGTAAATTATTTGCTATTATGCTATGTCTTCGTATTTCCTTTAAGTCTGAACAACATCAATATACGGTGCATATAGTATCACAAATTACATACTAATAATTTTTTTTTGCTGCAGCTAACGTGTATAAAATATAAGTACTATTGCTATATAAGCTGTCCTCACAGATACTTTCTGTTGAACTTGTCTTCACAGTCTGAACAATTGAACAAATGTGTGTTAGTTGGTAATTCAGATAAATGGATTTTTATTTTTGCTCAGTGCAGCACATAGTCATCTAACCAATTCCTGTGAAAGGTATTTGTGGAGTTAGTATTTATTCTGTGATGTTTTCTTCCATTTCTTCACACAAAATCCATCTCCCTTTTTGTTGGATACGTGTATCCATCTGATCTTTTAAGGAAAAATTCCAAATTTGTCCTCAAGTGTACAGTCTTATTTAGTTCTCTTGTTTCTTAATTGTGACATAAAGCCAGTCCAAATCTTTATAAGTATTTTATGTAATGCTTTTCTTCTCTAGTTAACTTGTATAATGCAAATTGATCTTACGTTATCTCTTGATGGTCTTTCTAATACTTTGGAATTAAATGTTGTTTTTTTTTTATCTCCCAAGTATCTTGCCCTGCTCATCATGGCCACACAACAATCTATTCAATTTTTAGCATTATGTAAGCATTTTTTTTAGCATTATTTTAGCATTATGTAAGTTTCTTCCTCAGCCCATCTTTAAGACTTTCCTGTAGATCATATATTTTATACTTCGTATGTCTTACTGTTCTCTTCTGGACTCTTTAGACATTCCCACATGGAAGACACACACTTCAGAGTTTGGTCCATCCTAGTAGCAGTGACGTCTTTTCCAAACAAGGATTCAAGCGTGTTGTTCTAATATTTTGCTGGTAGGAAGTCAACAGGTGCTGTTGATTGGAGGTTGTTTGTCTGAGTTACTGAGTTGCAGTAATCTTGCACAGGTTAGGTAGGAGAGAGTTCATATTTCTGAGCTTTTTTCTTACCAGTGTTTCTGTGTTTGGGGAGCTGACACTTTTGAAGCATTTTTGCTTCTTTGGAATTCCTAGTGTTTTGTTGAGGATTTTATTTTTTTCTTTTGTTTGCTTTCATATCACTTACTCTCTTTATTAAATGTCTCTTTAGGATCTTTAGGAAATGGGGTAAATGCATTACTTCTCACAGTGCAAACAGTATCACAGAGTTGACCTTAAAGCTCTGCTTGAATGCATGTGTTTCTTTTTCAGATTGAAAGACTGATAACTAATACTTAAGTACTTGTTGCAGCTGTTTTTCTTCTATCTGCAGTTCTAATTGAGGACTGACACAGTGGAAAAAGAGAGAGAAGGACGAAATACTTCCTAGTGTTCAGAAACACAGTTCACTGATTCTGTTTTGACATACTGACTTAGGAATGACTTAATAGACAACATTATTATAAGCTTTCTTTCTCTTTTTTTCTTTGTCTCTGGGTGTCTGCATGTTGTCAGAACACTCACAACAAATGTATATGCTTTCAGCATGCTTGTACAAGATCAGAGATGAAATGTGCTGTTCGCTGTCACTTAATTATGCTTCTGTCCGTGATAAAGTGTAGAGGAGTGATTTTTTTACATGATCCTATAGTGATGAAATGAGGGAAAATGGATTTAAACTGAAAGAGAGGAGGTTTAGGTTAGATGTTAGGAAAATTAATTCTATTCAGAGGGCAGTGAGGCACTGGAACAGGCTGCCTGGAGAAGCTGTGGATGCTCTGTCTCTGAGTTCAGGGCTAGATTGAATGGGGCCCTTTGAAGCCTGATCTGGTGGTGGCAGCCATGCCCATTGCAGGGAGTTTCGATCTCAGTGATCTCCAAGGTCTCTCCAAGGTCTCTTTCAATCCAAGCCATTTTAAGAAAGTGAATTTCCAAATTGAACCTAAACAACTGCATTTTTATATTAAAAAAATTTGCTCTTGGTAATCAGCATTTGATAGAAAAAATATGAAACCTGGGATCCAATGAAAGGAAGGAAAGCTGTATTTCTCCTATGAGAAGGGACCTAATGAAAAGGTTTTCTGGAATAATCAGTGTTAGGAAAATGCTTAACGAACATCAACTTCTGTTGCTATGTGTAATAGCTTTGGGTGGGAGAAGGATGGATCAGATTTTAAGGATCTGGGAATCAACTGATACACTGTAGTTTATAGTGTTTATTGTAGTTTACAGTGTCCTGTAGTTTATAGTGTTTGGTTATTTTAACAATTATGATTGAAGGAGTTGTACTTCCTGCATTTGTCTCTGTTTAGGAGGGAATAGTTTTCTGCTGATAACTTAAATGGTACATTCTGTGAGTGTACTGTAAGCAGCAAGTGGTTCTGTTTAAAACAGTTATAGCATTTTCCTGGTGCTGGCATAAATAGTCAAACGATATGTTGAGAAGGTCTTAGTCTTAGACATTGTCTTCTGTTTTCACAGATCAAAAATAAGCAAAGCTGATTGATCTGCTTGCATTTTCCTTTAGCATATCAGCATTATTGTGCTTTGTGACAAATTGAAACTGTACTAGGTTTAATCTGTTTTAGGCAGGTGGTAGACACTGCCCCTGTGTAACCTGACAAATCAAAGAAGCAGTGTGTGAATATTAGACCTCGCAACTGTGGCTGTATTTGCTAAAAGTAGATTCACTGTTGAAACAGAGTTGAGAATATCCTAGACCAAAAGGCAGAGTGATTTGTTGTAGAATCTGCAATGCTTCAACTTACAGTAAGACTGGATAAATACCAGAACTTAGTCCAATAGTTGGGAGGAAATTCTTGCTTGTAAGACTAATTTCATGCAGGCCATAGGTGTATTTTACAAGTTAGGTTAATGTAAAAGTCATACACCAAGTTACTACGGCTTGTAAGTAAAATTGAGGACTGTAATTTGGTGAGAAACATTCCATGTGTTCTGTTCACTATACTTACTTTAGAGATTAATGTTCTCTTTCATCCTGGCATGTTATAAGCTAATGGGTTTTACTTTACAACTACAAACCCTTAGAGTTGCTGAAGGAAAGCCAATGGAAGAAGTAGTTCAAGAAATGACGTTAGATGAGTGGAAAAATCTTCAGCAACAGAATCGACCGAAGCATGAATTCAACATCCGGAGGCCAGAATCCACTGTTCCTTCCAAAGCAGTGGTGATTCACAAGTCAAAATATAGCAGTGATGTAAGCATTACCTGTGGAATTCTGTAAACTTTGCTTTATGCTGAGGAAACTCTCCTTGTTTTCCACTAGTTTTAGTATAATCTGAACCCAAAATAGTATCTGAACTTTGTTACTGTAATCATGTATGTGCCTTAAAGTTTGCCTGACACTTATTGTCTGTTCATTTTTCTCTCAGGTCAAAATAGGGGTATATTTTATATGCAGGCATGTAATATATTAAGTTATTCTGTTTTAAAATGTATATTCTTAGCAATATAAAACTTGTTTCCTTATTGCTGCCACACATGTAGATCTCCAGTAGTGCCACAAGATAAACTTGTCTTATAAAGACTTCTTATCCTACCTTGGAACTGTATTTAGCTAAACTATCAGTACATGTTTGCACGGATATGGCATCTATTTTGGCATCTGTTAGTCTGGATGCTAAGTGTCAATTTTCTCATCTGTTCTGGACCCCAGATTCCATTGTGCACTTGGATTATATACTTTTTTCCAGTGTTATGGTCCTATTTCTTAAAAGAACTCTGGAGACCTTCTTCTATAGTGATATACTTTCTCCCCACTTTTCCCATTTTTTTTTCCATGGTGTCTGTTGGGCAACGTTTCAGGAAGTACTTCTGTTAATATGATTGGGAAGTGCTGAGGAGAAGCATGAGAATTTGCTTATATTCCTGCTAGCTTAGATTGTAGATTTTGAGGGTCGCAAAAGTATATGTATGTCCTTGTAACCTAGCATGATGAAACTGTGATCCTTGATTAAGGTCTGTGTGCATGTATGCAATACACATTGTATTCTTTGTCTACTCATAACACTGAAACATGCAGCTTTTCTTTGTGAGTCATAATCACTGTAGGTCACTGAGTTCTTCTCGGTACAGACAAATACAGAAGCTGCTTGCATCCTTTTTAGCATGGCTTTTGGTGCTCATGGATACCATTGCCCTTTCCTTTGGGATGAGAGGATGCACTGGGGAGAATAACTTTCACAAGTTCTGAAAGTATGAGAAATGCATGCTGTTCTTATTGCTCCTAAACTTTCTTGGCTGGCAATACCAAGTGACCTTGTCAAAATGAATGTAAAAGAGATACAGAAACTGCATAGCAAAGACAAATCAAAAGTGTTTTAAAATGAGAGATTCTTTACAGTATGGGATGAGTTTACAGATATTTTAACTTCAATGCATGTTAAAATTGTGGTGGGAAGCAATCTTAAATACACTAGGAACTAGGAATATTAAGAGTTAAAAGAGAATCTCATAGTTACAGACAAATATATTAAATATATATATATTGGCTAGTAACCAAATGCTGTGGTTTCTGTCCTTTTAACCATTAGCTGAAGGTAATTGTAGGAGTAAGTAGGTTAGGCCTGATTCTCTGGTTCCTTAGGGAAGCCTTATAGATTATATTGCTGCAAACTTCAATATTGTGGAGCTATACAGTATGGCAGACCTTGCTTCAAGGACTCTCTGAGCAAACAAAACTATCCCAGGTATCTGGGAGGCTGCAACTGTCTCACTTCTGTTCAAATGCTGTGCAAGTTGAAGCCTGTCTCCTATTCCAGATGTCATCTTAATATTTTTTTTGCTGCTTATTTTGTAATACGTGTGTATGTAAATGTGTCAGGGAGGGTAGAAGGCTGTATATGGAAATTACGAGCCTTAATCACACGTTTTTTCTAGATACAAAAGGGAGAGCTTGAAGACGATTATCAGATTTTTCGAAGGGCAGTGAATGATATAACATCTCAGCTTGATATCAACTTTGGGAGTCTTTCTCGCCCTGGCCGTGGATCAAGAGGAGCACGAGGTTGTGGCCGTGGCAGACAAGTTGAGGAGACACGATCTCAACCAGAAGTAATGGTAAAGTTTTCTGTAGGTTTTGTTTGCTTGGCAACATTTTTTGGTGGTAATTGTCCTTTCCCTCTTCCCCCTCTATTCTGGAGAGGTTTCTAGAGTAAGAGACTTGTTTCTGTTACCCACCTCACAGTATGTTGGCCTGGTTATTTTCAGTTCCTGACCCATACCAAGTTGCTTAAAGTGAAATATTGATTCTGGCTGAGGAGCTCTAACACATATATTTCTGATGGCTGGATTACCAGCTGCTGTGATGTTAACTAGAGGAAAGGATGCAGTGAACATTTCTTTCCTCATTGAATGTTTGATATAAATTAGGAATTTATTAACATGACGAAGACTTACTATATAGCAAGAAATTTCAGTTCTGTATAGAATCATAGAGTCCTCAGAGAGTTGAATGAAGCTCTGAAGGCCATGTAGTCCAACTCCCTTGCAATGAACAGGGACAACACATCTAGATCAGGTTGCCCAGGGCCTTATCCGGCTTTGTCTTTAGATTCTCCAGGCACAGGGCATCAACCATATCACTACGCAACTTGTTCCAGTGCTTCACCATCCTCATGTAGATTTTATTCCTTATCTCTAACCTAAATCTACCCTCCCGGAGGGTAAAAGAGAAAAGAGATAGAGCTGTAACTTTATAGAAAAGTTTCATCAAGGTTAGGTTCTTTGTGGCTTAAATAGCATGTAAACGGCTCAGACAATAATTTAAAAGATAAAGTTTTCATGCTTCCATTTATTTTTTGCCAGCACTAACTATTCATTTAAACACCTACTCTGTCAGAGGAGCTGATACTGACATTGTAGACTCTGTTTTTAAAACTGCCAGATCTTTAGTCTCTCTGTACCAGTGGGCATTCCAGTAGGTGAATGGGACATGTGCAAATAAACTCTAATTATAACAGCATCTTTAATTCAGCCCAAATTTAATTACTTTCTAAAGTGTTGATCTAAAGAACTTCCACTGGCTTTTTAGGAAGAAAAAAAAAAAAAATCTGCTTACCTAAAAAAAAAAAAATTATACCTTTATTCTTTGTAATCACCAAAGTTGCAGTTAGTTGTACATAAAGCAGTAAAACGGTTACATTAGGGAACTTACAAAGTGGTATGGAAAAGATTTTGTGTTTGCTTCATCTGAATGAAAAAGGCTTTTTGTATCACAAACTACAGACTATTCAGTAGCCCTAGAAAGTTTAAAAAAAAAAACAAAAAAAAAACCAATAATGTTTTTTCTAAAAAAAAGTTGTGGATGAGATTGTTGCACTTTCCCTATCCCACCTTAATACTACAAAATATGGTCCTACTCAGTATTATAAATAAGTTCATGTTGTATCAATTATAGTAGTCATAATTTCTCAGATAAAATTAGTATTTCTGTGATAGAGATGGTTATGAAGCATTTACTTTAAATAAAACAATGGATTTTTTCAGGGTAAATACATACTTATATGTAGCTTTCAGATGCTTTAAAATCTATTCACTTCTGTAAAGCTTTCTTTCTTACTCCATAGGTGCAAATTGTTGCTCCAAATCCAGATGATCCTGAAGATTTTCCTGCTTTAACATGAAAGAAATATCATGAATGGTGTTATCAACGGAGCTTTGGTGCAGCTCTAAAGAAACCAGTTCTGTACTGGTGCGAAGGAAAAAAAAAGTCCAAGTCTACTGGAAAAGCTGTTCTGGTTGATGGGTTTTTGTTTTTTTTTTCATGTGTGAAATGTTTGAACACATTAATGGAAGAGAGTTCTGGAGACAACAGTGGTCTGGAATTCTGTTATAGGGCCTAGTGCCTGCCTCCATTTGTGAAAGCTGTATGAAGGATTGCAGTACTCAAGTATAAGGCTTTGAATGAACATCAACAGTACAGTGCTTAAAAATGTAGAGACTATGTCAAGTTCTTCCTGGCAGCTTAGTGAAACTGTATGACATGGTTTGCCATTAGGAGTCTGTTTCATTTTGAAATATGAAAGCTACTTTCTGTTTCTTTGGTTGAAGTGTATTTTACACATTTACAAGTTGCAGTTCTTGAGAGTTTGGCAAATAAAACACAGTGCTTACTGGTTTGAGTTTGAGGTATTATTTTTATGAGTCAGAGACTGAAGCCTCTGCTGTTTGGCAACAAAGAGCTGATCTTACTTGCCTGAAAAATATCCCTGAACAGAAATGATTTTAAGACAGCAGCAGCTTGGTTGCTTTTAACAGGTAACTTTAACAAGTGTTTGTTCAGTGAGAAAATGCAATTTGCAGCTATTGTCAGTGAAATAAAATAATTTTGAAGACAGAACTAAGTCATTAAAGAAGAAATTTGTTTAGTGCACGAGAAACTACAAACTAAAATAGTAAATATCTCAAGTTGGAAGGAGTCCACAGTGATCATTGAGTTCAGCTCCTGCCTCTACCCAGGACCACTCAGAATTCAAGCCCTGTGTCTGAGAGCAGTGTCCAAGCACCTTTTGAAATCCATCAACTTGGGCCCATGATGTTGGGGAACCTGTTCCAGTGCCTGATCACCCTCTCATGAAGAACCTTTTCCTAATACCCACTCTAACCCTTCACTGACATAGCTATGTTTCTTGCCTTAACAAATAGTTTGTGTGGCATTGAGGATGAGATGGCCTTGTCCTTTCCTTGCAGTCCTCCTGTTTCTGAACCTGAGCCAAATAACCTCAACTGCAGCTTGAAACTTACTCCTTCACTCTGGCTATTCTTCTAGAATATTTTTGAGTAGTTCTGCCAAAAATGGCTATTTGATGTTTGTGAAACATAAATTATTCTTGATAAGAGACTTTGTGTCTCTCATTATACCTTTTCTACTGTTGTATCTTGACGTAGATGGCTTCTCTTTCTGTATTGTTAAAATCTTTGACAGTTGTTCCCTATTGTTCTGGAATATTGTATTGCAGCACTCCATGCCATGTTGAACTGCAGCATAAGGACACTTGGATGATGCTACTCCAAAAACTTAAACTTAGAATTTCATTCAAGTTCATTAGAATTAGAATTAAACTTAGAATTTCATTCAAGTTTTCCTTCAAATTTCTAGATGTCATACAAATATGAAGATGATATTCCACTGTGACCCACACACACAATCCTCTTTTTAATGTTAAATTTTTTATAATTGTGGAACTTCCTTTTGGAGGGCTCTGACTGCATCTGTGTTTTTGCTTGCAATTGTTTCAATCATTACAGAGATATTTACTAATGTTTTTTTTCAAGTTTACTGACTCCTAGCCCCAGGACAAACCATCTGGCAAAACAGTGAAATGCAGAGCTACTTTTAGTTGGGGAATTATTTCTTTTGCTTCTTTTCAGGAAGGTTGTATTTGTTCCTCAATTTGCAGATTAATAGTTACTGTAGGAACTGTAGTTGCTGGAGTGCAAATTTGGCAGTAGTACTTTTCTATGTCCACATATCCAATACTAGCTTCTTTTTGGGGGACCATCCAACTGCTGTACTTCCTTCCTATAGTTGAGACATGCCTTGGGAATTGCACCTTTGTATGCACATACATGTATTATTTTTCATTTAGTACTGGGGTATTTATTTCCCACTTGAGAATTTCTGATTTTTCATCTGTATCAAATGTTTTTTACCATTAAGTGTATCCAAAAGACATGAGAAGGAATAGGGGTGCTAGTTAAAGGCACTGTTTTCTCTGAGTGTTCTGGAAAGTGAGGAGAAACCATGCAACTGCTCTTAATGGCTCTTTTAGCCATTAAGGCAATGTGATGTGTTTATTTTCTTCCCAAGACCAAAGCAGTCTCATATCAATAATTGACGTTGTGAAATTTGACAAAATCACAACTTCCTCCGCTTACCCAATTGACCCCTGGGGGATACCACTGATAGCCAGTCTGAATCTAGACAGATGAATAATCAATTGGATTCTTACAACATGCTTAAGCCATTCCTTAGTTTTGCATAGCTGTCACAGGAACATGTGTATATATAGGCACATTCATACAAGGAGTAATGTATTCACACGCACAAATAATAATAATGTTGATAATAATGTAATGTTGACCAACCACTGAACATGCTCCAAGGTTATCTGCGGAAAGTGTCCATTCATATATGTCACTGAGTGAACAGGCATAGAATTAGAGATCTTCTCTTTCAGTAACCAGCTGGACAAGCATGGAACAATTTGTGGGGTGGGATCTTCAGTCTTTGGACTCAAGAAAGTAACAACTGCCGCTCTTCAACTCTGCTACTCAGAATTACATAAAACCTTCAGGTGTTACCTGTCCACAAACACCTTTTTGAGGATATGATGCAACAAATGTTTCAGATGGCTGAATGTACAGAGCAGCTTTAGGTACTGCATCACTTTTAATGGCAGCATTCTGATTAACACCAGCTTAATGACTTCACTAAGGTTTTTGCTTGCCTGAGTAGCCAGTGTAAAAAAAAAGTTCTGCGTTCAGCTGTCTGTTTTATCTGTAGCTGACTGTGAGCTGCTGTCAGCTCTAAACAAAGGTTTCTCTGTCTAGATTTGTACGCTAGTAAGTACTTGACTAAGAGATAATGAGTTAACACAATGAAATGTCAGGACAGCTTTTATGTAGGTAAAGGAAGCAGACACAAGGTCTTGGATTACTCTCTTCTGATGAGAAAAAGTAAGTTGACACGCTACTCATATAATCCAGGAATTCTGGACTTGGTGGGAGCTTGTTGGTTGTATTTTTTGGTGTTTTTTTTTTTTTTTTTTTTTTTTATAGATCAAATCCTGTTTTCTGATGTTTTTCCTGACTCTAACAAAGGTTGTGTTCCTTGGGAAAAGATAACTTTCTGGTGGGCGTTTTCTATGAAGCTTTCAGTGAAATGAAGGAGTTCTTTAAGTATGGAAGCAACATTAAACATTTTATTTCAGAAACAAAGTAGAGTGGCAGAAGTGGACAAAAAAAGCACCTAGAAGCATGACACCAGAAGTATTGCATGTTGTAAAGACACAGTCCTAGAAGCATGATGTTTTGGGAAGAACAAGGAATTGTGTTGACAGAACTCAAATGTGGGAGGAAAGCCAGGTGGGCCTAGTAGGAAACCTGATGAAGAAGGGGCGATGAGGAAGCTGAGCCCTTCCACTATGAAGAATATCGTGGAAACAACCACTGTCTTTAATGGCAATCTTCCCTCTATTAGCAGCAGTCATTTTGGGTTTTCCTGCATTAACAGTATCTTCTGCCAAAGAGACATTTATGTCTGCTCCCTCTGTCCTGTTGGCATAAGAACGAGCTTTTTATTGTGTTGATGGCATAACTTGTGTGCAGCAGATGAGGGAGTTGGAGAAGCTGGGAATCAGGGATGGCTGTGAGACGGAAGTGGTGTGCACCTGCTGGCATGCAGCCACTGCACGCACCTGCAGCTGGGTGACCAATAGCAACTGCTGCTTAGGCTGTCTGGGCAGTGCAGTCTTCGCCAGATTTGTAACAGCCTTGTATATTGGGAAGGACTATGAAGAGTGGAGGCAGTTACTTAAGGGATTGAATTTCTGAATTTCCTTCGCCCCGTCCCTCATGCAAAAATAAATAAAAAACAAAGACCAAGCACCTTCCTCTTAACTATTTAGTTTTAAAACTCGCAGTGTTTCTGTTTTCAGTAAGCTCAGCCTTGAATATTTCTAAAGACAGCACATCAGTTTTGCTGCAGTGTTCTCTGCTCCTACATGGGCTGTGTAGAACCCATAAAGGAGGCTGGAAAGTGCCAAATCAAAGTAAGCTTCAGAAATACTGCACACAGGTTATTCTTGCGGTGCATAATGTTGCCAAAACCTTGGCCTGGTCACTGTTCAGCTGTTCTCTGTATTGTGCTTTGGTCCTTTGCCTTTCCCTGTCCAGTGCCTGTGCTGTGCTTGCATGTCTACATAGGGATTAGTGGTGTTTTGCTGTGGTGATCACATGCAAACACAGACGTATTCCAGGCAGAGCCTTTTGTTCACTCTTCTGCAGGCAACTAGCAAAGGAAGAAGTGGTTTAAACATTTACACAAGCACAGAAAGGGTAACATTACAATTGATGAACACAAAGATTTTCCAAGCAAATATGAACATCCCTTTCTGGAGCAAGTGAGAGTTTACTCATCTGTCAAATAGGTTCTGCCCAAGGTGCACATGTTTTGCTTTTTCTTAAATATGTAAGGTAAGAATAAATATTGGAATAATTACATACTTCTCCTTCTCCTTCCCCTCCCATTTCCCCTTCTCCTTCTCCTTCTCCTTCTCCTTCTCCTTCTCCTTCTCCTTCTCCTTCTCCTTCTCCTTCTCCTTCTCCTTCTCCTTCTCCTCCCTTCCCTTTTCATGGACCCTCACAACTTAGGTAAAAGTAAATGATTCTAAAAATATTTGTTTTGAGAAATCTTCACTTTCCATTTCCACTACCACCATTTACATGTGGTAAATGGTATTTCAAATTCTACCAATTTCCAAAAAAAATGAGTGCTACACTACCATACATAAAGAAGACAAATTAAGTTAGAAGCCAGTTTTTTACTGGCTAAGAGTGTCCCAACTATTTGAGTACAATTACTGTTATATTCTGAAGTCAGTCCCCTCAAATGCAGAGCCAAAAATTATATTTAAAATGCAGTATTTTGAGATTTGTGCTTTTTAATTAAAAAACTTACCTTTTTAGGCAAGTGAGATTCTTTCATTATTTCTATGAGCACAAAGTGGTCAGACCCATACAAATGTGGTCTTAGATGACTTCCTTCAGAATGTTGGAAACAAAAGTGAACACACAAACTTCTGATTATTATTTTTAATTTTACGTAATTCATGTTTACAATTCTCACTATTCAATATTTTGTATAAAACCAAATACAATATGCACTATTTTCAAATGAGACACAAATGCATATTGAGCTATTTGATATTACAAGATAATATGAAGCTTTATCTTAAAAATACCTCCAGCAAAATAAATTCCCATTCTATCAATCCAAGTTAAAAAAATATGATTAGAAATATACAATTTAGAAATAATCAAGATGAACAGTGCTCATTAGTCGAAGACTTCTAGATCTTGATAGTCTGTACACAAGTTACACAAGACACAGTCTGCAAACTACTAATATAAAAACTGCAGTGCAACAAATCAGTGAATGTAACTTTTTCTTCGCCGCATTTTAATGCATGAGTACCTACTTTTTTTTTAATTTTTTTTTATTTTTTTTTAAAGCAGCACTTTTTCTATTGTCCTGGGGCAAAAGGACATGGTCTGATTTAGCTTCTATTACTATACTGATGCTGTAATGGAAGCTAGCAATTAGACCTAAGATAGACAACTATTGAATATGTTGCAGAGATCGCAGAAGAATCCATCTTGCATGTTGAAAGAGTAGAAAGAATTTTTAAGTTTAACCAAAACTGCTAATTGGCAATAGCAGAAATAAGTTCCTTCAGCTGCTCTGTTGCACTGCTGTCATACATGTGCTCCTTTTTGGCACACAGTACTGCACATTTCAAAACAGACTTGGAAACCACAAACTCCCTCACCCATGGCTACTACTTCATAATTGTACTTAAGACAGCTTTGGTATGGCATAGTAAACATAGAAGACAAAATACTAAAAACTTGGACAGACAAAGCAATATAATTAGATCAGATGCAATAAGCTAACAGATTAATTCACCATATAAGATTGCTTGGAGAATTTTCATGTTTATTTCTGATACTCTGACACTTTGGTGTTTCTCAGCATGATACTCATTTTTGGATGGGGTAGCCTCAAACATATTCACGACAAACAGTTTTGGTTTAACTTGAGTTGCCATGCGGTGTACAATTCATGCAAACTTGCTTCTGATTAACTTCTGAGTACTAACTGCTTTGCTGATTACTTTAAAAAACGGAAATTCCAACTCAGAATTTTGAAGGGCTGTGGAATATGCTGATAAATTTTAGATCAAGAAGTTCAGCTAAGAGAACAGTAAGGCCAAAACATTATCAATAGATCTTACTTGTTTTAACTCTCATCCTTACATCTCATTAGTTTCATCCTTTCCCTCCTGCCTTTTAAGATTTGCAAGTAAGTTCACTCATAAAATTTTCAAGATGGAAATTTTCTTCAAAAATAAAGAGATTAATTTTTGCACAACACACCATCTATTGCCATTTTGGTGAAGGAGGTCAAAAAAGTAAAAAAAAAAAAAAAAAAAAGGTAATAAAATTTTTATCACTATTGGGGTGAGTTCTGTCCCATTTTTTGGGTGGTTTTCACTTAGAAGAGAGTGAAAGAGATTGTGAAAATTAATTGGAAAACAAACAAACAAAAAAAAAAAACAGGGTATAAGCCTCAGTGCTCCTTATCTTGCACCATACAAACCTATTTTGTGCTCATATTTGCAAATCTGAAGTATACATACATACATACATATATATATAAATTTACACTCACAGATGTCACCATACATTTTACATTCTGCATACTCTCCAACTCACAATGCTCTTCTTTAGCCAACAAAATGTATTCAAACCCATGTGTGGTTATTCATAGTGGCACTGAGAAACCACTGGTGTAACAGAACACTTCCTTTCATTTGAAAAGAATCCTTTCTTCATAGAAAGAAAATCCTCCCCCTTGCAAATATAATCTGGATCTTTTAAAAACTTAAGTTATTCTGTTGCTAAAATTCCCAGCCAAAAATGACTTGGAGGTACTGGTGGGTGGCAAGCTGAACATGAGACAACACTGTGCTCTTGAAGCCCAGAAGGCCAACCATACCCAATTGCCCATACCCAACTGGTAATCTAAAGATTCATCTAAAAGATGTGATGATATGAAAAGAAAGAGTAATGACATTTCACTGCTTTAAATGTTTTTCCTCCTTCTTACAATCATACTGGATTTAAAGCAATTACAAATAGATAAAAGAGCCAGTGGTTGGGAACAACTGAAAATCTATCGCTATTAAAAACAAGATAATTGCTTTCTGTTGGCTTTTTTTTTTTTTTTTTCCCCCCAAAATTAAAATTAAAAAAAATCACAGTCTTTGAAAATAAAGCACTCTTTGGTGGACAATATTTACTTTGTTCTCAACACCAGGACTTCATAAAAAAAAATTCATATAAAATAAGAAAGAATAGCCAGTTAACACAAGAGAGTACCAATCCTATAAGTAAAAAACCTCCGTGGTAGAGTTTCAGTCTCAAGTGGAGACCTAAGTCCAGTCTGAATGAACAACACAGATTTACATATTAAAAACTCCCACCATTTTCTCACTTCTGGTGGTCAGCAGCTGTGATTGCCATCACATTTTATGCACATGCATCATATATGGTAGGGAGCCCTCTTTACAATAGAGAGCTCAAGTATTTACACCTGAGTCTGAATTTACACTATTTTGTTGGTTTTGCTTGAGGAAGTATTAGTAATTAAGAAACTGTATGCCAAGCATGTTGCCAGTTTTATTTTACAAGTATGAATGAGTTTCTTCTGCTTAAGTGGAGCCAAAGACATCTTCCTAGAACTGCAATCAAGTGTCTTCAAGTTGTATCCCCTTCATGCCTGGATATCCCCTTTCAACACTGCTTGCCAATTTGAAATTTTAACGCAATACTGTTCTAGTTCTTGTGGTGGACTGGCTGCTGAAATAAAACATATTTGAGGAAAAAAATTGAAATGTGTACCCAAAAAATTATTTGAAGCTAATATTGTTGGCAAGATGAAACAATTAAACTGTATTTCAAAAAAGAGACATTGTAAAAGTCACAGCATTTAAAAACACAGCAATATCAGTTGTAAAGAAAGCACAGACCAGTGTGTTCGCAGAGAATATGAAGAAAGGCTCAGTTTCATACAAAAAAGCAACATAATTTCATTAAGTACAATTGCTGTAAAGTATTCATTTTTCTTCTCTCCCTATGATGTATCAGACTGAAGGAAAAGTAGAAAGAGTAGCAGAGAAACATTAATATTTTTCAAGCTAGACCTAGATTTCACAGATAAACTCTGAAATGCTGCAGGCAATTTTCAATGTATGAGCAAGGGTACAGACGGCTCCTTTTCCAATTTCCAATAAAGTAAAAGCACGTGAGATTGTAAAAGCATAATCCTCTCTTGTTAAAAGAAGTAAAATAATCTATACCACATTTTCATGCATTTTCTCCTGTCTTCTCAAGTTTTTTTTTTCCGTAATAACTTGACCTCCATATTCTCTTTAGCAGCTCTAGCTACCAAAATTCTTTGATCATTCAAGATTTCACTTCTAACCAATTACTTGTTATGTACATAATTCTAAATCTTTAAGATGATAAAACAGAGAAAACTGCTTCATTTGGGCCTTACTATGTTTCATTTGGTCTGGGAATTTCTGAAGTATAAATCCGTTGGCCAAAATGCACAGGGTTCTTATCCTGCAGAGAACACAGGTTTGCTATGCATTTTTGCTAGTCCAGCTATCTGTCTAAGAAGAATGCTATTCAAGTCCTTCACGTACTTTGGGATCAAGTCTAGGCAATGATTATTTACGTTAAGAGTTAAGATTTTGAGAATCCTCTTCCATCTCACCTTTTAGCTGATATAGTAGCACACTGTTCTACTAAAAGCGATTTGATAGCAAGAAAGTGAGGAGGGAAATAGGAGAGGAAAATGACCCATCTGTCCTAAAGATAATGTGCTATATGCATCCTGTTAAGATACAAACACAAACAGGCTTCATTCCCAGTAACTCAAAAATTTACATGGTATATTATCCTCAATGGAGAAAAAAGATTAGAATAAGGACACCCACAGAAAAAAAACTGTGGAGAATGCTTTAGTCATGCAGTGTCTTGCAGTTACACAACAACATTATTTCAGTCACAACAAATAATGTGTTATGCCCACCAGTACTGTCTTTTGTAGATGGCAGCTGACATCTCGAGACATTCCACAACGGAAATACAATGAACATTGTGAGCAATATATTGAAATTCTCTAAGACCACTATGCAAAACCAGAACAAAATATTTTAACTGCAAATGACTACTTTGGCTGAAGTACCATTCTAGGGACATTTTATACGATAGTGTCCAAAAGTTTGAAGGATGAAATGGTAAATTCAGATCTGCTGATTATGCTGCGTAATGATGGGTCAAAAAAAAGTGATTAATCTGGAGTAAAAACTGACTAAAATGGCCTGGAGCATCAACAAAAAAGTTTTGTATAAAAACTGTGCAAGATTTTTCCACTGGAATACAACAGACTGGCAAGTCAAGAGAAGAATAAAGGTCCACACTAATATCAGACATTCAGAGAAAGCAACAGAACCTTGACAAAGGTAGATGTTGGTTAGGACACAATCTCAGTTTTTTAACAGTAATTATTTCCCTCTATATTGCATTCAATTTATCTGGAAAAGGTCAATCTATTTATGTACTGTGAGGTAATACAAACTTCACAGACTTCAACTGGGTTGTGGCAATACTTATCAGTACAAGCTGGGGTAATTAAGGATAGAGCACAGTCCTGCTGAAAAGGACTTGGCGATACTGGTGGATGGTACACATTGCTGGACACAAGCCAGCAATGTACTCCTGCACCCCAGAAAGCCAAACATATCCTGGGCTACATCAAAAGAAACGTGGCCAGTAGGTTGAAGGGAGTGATCCTGCCCCTCTACTTTGCACTCGTGAGGCCTCACTTGGAGTACTGTGTCCAGATGTGGAGTCCTCAGCGCAGAACAGACATGGTGTCATTGCAGAGCATCCAGAGGAGGGCTCACAAAAGCTATCCAAGGGATAGAACACCTCCCCTATGAGGACAGGTGGAAAGACCTGGGGCTGTTTGACATGGAGTGTTGGAGGCAGGTGCAGAGGAGGGCCACAGACATGATCAGAGGGCTGGAACAACTCCCCTATGTGGACAGGCTGGGAGAGTTAGGGTTCTTCAGCCTGGAGAAGAAAAGTCTCTGAGGAGACCTTATAGCAGCCTTCCAGTACCTGGAGGGGGCCTACAGGAAAGCTGGGGGGGGAGGGGGGTAGCTTTTTGTAAAGACAGGTAGCAAGAGGAAAAGGGGAAATGGCCTTAAACTGGAAGAGGGTAGGTTTAGACTAGATAGTAGGAAGAAATTCCTTACTGTGAAGGGTGGTGAGGCACTGGAACAGGTTGTCCATAGAGGTTGTGGATGCCCCCTCCCTAGAAGCATTCAAGACATGGCAAGACAGGACTTTGAAAAACCTGGTCTAGAGGGAGATATACCTGCCTATAGCAGTTGGGGTTAGAACTAGATGATCTTAAAGGTCCCTTTCAACCCAAATCACTTTTTTATTCTATTACTCTGTGATTCAACCTAGAGAAGAAGAGAAGACTCCAGGGGGGCTTGACAGCAGCTTTACAATATCTAAAGTAGGACTAGAAGAAAGAAGGGACTTTTTAGCAGTGCCTGCTCTGACAGGACAAGGGGAAATGGCTGTAAAGTAAAAGAGAGAAAATTTAGATTGGATATAAGGAATAAGTTTTTGACAATAAGGATGGTGAGGCACTGGAACAGGCTGCCCAGAGAGGTTTTGCATGCTCCATCCTTAGAGATATTCAAGGCTAGGCTGAAACAGGCTCTGAGCAACAGGCTCTGAGTGGCCTAGCTGCAGATGTTCCTGAAAAAGCATGAAAAAAGAAAGCAAGGCTTAAAAAAATTGAGTAAGGTTTTGCTAAACACTCTAATAAAAGGACACCTACAGGATTAATAGCAAGGTACTAAGTGGAAATCTGGAATATAAACAGTCTTACTGAAATAGTCTTTAGAGGGATGAGTACCCAATTAATTCTCTAAGATGAAAAGATAATTAAGAACTCCAGAACTGTGAGAACAAATATTTAGGGCCACTGTGACTATGCAATCCAAACATAAACTCACTGACACTCTTCTATCACAAATGTTAGAAGAAACAGTATATAGAATGAAATATTTGGGGTAGAAGTTTTAGAAAAGACATTAAAACAGGAAATGCTTTATCAAATGTGAGGTAATTTGAAACCTGATCCTTGGCCCTCTGAGTCATAAATCTGTCAACACATACATAGCATTTATTTCAACATAACTGAAATCTTCCTTGCTCTGGGGATGTTGTTTCCTCCTATGGATAGGTAGTCTGATCCCTTACCTGAATATATCTACACTATATACTACAATATCTACTTAAAGGTGTGTTTTCCAGGAACTGAATATACGTGTTCAATCAAGTATACTACTATGAAGAGCTGCAAGTAGATTAAAACTTACGAAGAATAAAAACAGCTGTGGGAATCCCATCAGTCTATCTGGAGCAAAACTGGCATGGTGAAAACAATTTAGAATGGAGTTTCTCAGTAAAACTCCGAGAAAGACTTAAGATTTTTAGGAAAACAGATATTTCAGGAAAAATGAAATATTTTTCTACATGTTATATGAATCAAAATACAATTCATAAAATTCATATAGCTGCTGATGAAAATTCTGACTAGCACATTCTTGCAGATTGCTATTACTTAGACTACTTCCTTAGCCCAGTACAGTGGATTTTTCATAATGTCTGTCACCTTCAAAAGTGGGTGAGGTTGTGAAAACAAAAACTATGTATGGAAGAAAAACTGCACAAAAACCTGGAATTTTCAGCAAAACTTATTAAGCAAGCCACATAAACTAGAGTCTGTGAGTTGTGGGCTTTTTTTTTTGTTGTTGTTGCTGTTATTTGCCACCTTTTTTGCTCCCTAAGAAAAAAATATATCTTCAGCACCTGGCAGATCCATTCAAAAGTTGTTCCTTATAAGCCCGAGGCAGATTCTGTTCATCAGTAGCTACTGAATATTACTTGAAAATTCTATCAAGTTATATTCTAAACTCATCTTTGATAACGTCTTGGAGAGCTACTGCAGAGAGGTATGAACACGTGTGTGCAGTAGAAACATATTAATACTGGGGCCATACTCTTCTGCATCAAAAAACACTTTCACCCTCGTATACATTCATCCAAATTTAAAATTTCCTTAAGTTCTGTGGAACAAGTTCAGACCAGATAATCAGTGATACTCCACTATGAAATCTCACACCACATATGCATTTTATACACTTCACCTACCCACTGCTGGATTTGCCCACAACTGCATTTCAGTTGTCCACAAGTTTACTTTGCATGCTAAATCTAACTCTGAATGCTGTGAACAACTTTTCCTCTCTTATTCCAGATTAGATTTGATAATTACAAGATTTTTTTGGATACTAGAATCACTTAACTCCAGTAGTTCTTACTCACTTTAGGAATAAGAATATAAAATTCTGAAACTTGAAGGACTCAGCAGTATAATCTGATTCATGTAAGATGTAAAGTTCTAGATATTCTCAGTATATAACAGGAGACAAAAAACTGCTTCTTGCTTCTCATTTCTCATTTTCAGGAGGAGGAATTAAATTGTGGCAAAAGCCTTTAACAGCAGCAGTGGATACACCAGCTCAAAAGTATTTGTCTACACAACAGTTACTGGATCTTTAAAGAGGGTAGCTCTCACCTTTTTATACTTTTGTTTCTTGCTGCAGATCTGGTAGTTCTTTTAGTAATGTTTGTACTGTCAGAAATGCTAGGTTCAGAGGTTTTATTTTTCTGAACACTGGACTGCAGAATTACTCTGAAAA